CGCCTGAAAAACCACAGATATTAAATGGGTTATAAATTGAGAAATTTCGCTAAATAGGATAATATCTGTCACAAACGTGAAACTTGGGGGGCTAAACAATGGAGTTAACTCAATATAAAAAGACGTCTTCCAACATGCAACAGCGCATGCATGTACATGGCACATGATATCAGTTTCCTATATGTCCTGGAAACAGAAGCTTCACAGGGTGCTCAGGTCATCCCTATGTTTCGAATGGTTACGCATCCAATTTTGATTGACGCAACTAGTTACATCTATATCTATATCAATATAAAAAGACCCAGAGGGGCAGATTCAACTGATCTCGGCCATCGAACTAAGTCAATCCAACGACTTAGACTGCTCCAATGATGAGCGTTAAATGTAGTAATTAATATCATATCAAATATTGCACTAATCACAAGATTAACACACAAATAATATCATACCTAATATCCGCGTGCAATTAATATATTGACTAAATATTAACGTGCGTAGCGCGTGCACCTTTGCTAGTTACATTAAAAGGACGGAGCTCTGGAGGTGGTGCGTGACTGAGTGTCTTCAAAGACTTGCACATCTTCGAGCTTCTCGGGCTTGAGGCAAGGAGGGATGTACGCAGTGTAAATGGCGCTCATGTTGGGCGTCTCTTTCAGCTGCTGACTTGCCACCTCGAGAGGGGTTTTGGCGAATGCAGGATAGAAGCGTGCATGGCATGTGCGGGCGAAGATTAAGCTTATCACCAGGAGTGGTGTGAGGATTGTAGAATAGTAGAATTTTTTCAGGCTGATGATACCAATCATGGTAGCCTGATAGATCATGAGAGCTGCAATGATCCTTGTGTGCATGTGTGGCCACATTCGCCCGTTGCTCTCATAACTCGGAACATAAACTCTCAAAACCTGCATTTAGCAACAAGGAGGAACGTAAGGTAATTAAGTCACTTCTGAAATCTGTTCTCTTCAAGAAGCCATGCATGCCTATTTGCGAAAAAGAAAAAAAAAAGAAAAACATGCCTAGGTTGGTCAGTCCAGCTGTTCGACATGCATGCATACATTGAAGTAATTATAAAATCTCGCTCACCTGGTTTTTTGCTATAAGCCAACCCAGAGCAAAGTAAGCAACACCGAATGGCAAAATCAAAGGCGTGATGACGGAGTAGCACAGCACAATTGTCACGATCAGCATGTCGTTGGGAACCCTGGTGTTATACCTCAGGTTTCCTGGAACCCATGCCGCTCTCACCTCGTCCTCTGTCTTGCATAGGTACTTCCTTTTCAGGTGGAAAATGATGAGAGGGACCAAACGAGAGAGCTCAAGCCCATAACCAACAAAGCATCTGTCGAAAACAACAATCAATCGGTATATTCTACGGCTGGGGTGAAATTCAGAAATGTGTACCGTGTACATATACTGGACTGGGACTGGAAGAAGCTCAGGACAGCAACTTAAAGTGCATAAATGAGCGAGACACAGTCATTAATTACCTGAGTGCAACGAACGTGAAGAAGAAAGTTGCAGTTCCGGGGAGCCTGGTGGCAAGCGTCATAAAAATCCCAGTAGGGTTCTTGATAACTTTTTCCAAAGCGCTGAACAACGAGGAGCCAATTGCATAGCCAATGAAGACGTTGAAGACGATGAAGTAGAAATATTTTCCCGATGCCGCCCTCACCACATGGCTCTGCGAAGGAATTCCTTCCGACTTTGACAGGGACACGAGAAGAGTTGGCAGCACGGCGAGGAAAACAATAAGCGCGATCTGCGGCAGGTAAGCCTGTAAGACCGTCTTAACAAACGGCTGGTCCACAACCACCTTGAGAAAGGGCAGCTTCTCCCTCAGTTTTTCCAGCGTTGTAACGGCAGAGATGGCAGTGATGGGAATCATGTAGAAGGCCACGGTAACGAAGACAATGAGATAGACCACCGTCTGTCTGGTGTGCCTGTCATATATTTTCCTTGGAAGATTGGCCCATATTACCTCACGTGGTTCAGGAGCTTCTGTAACAGTCCATTCATCAAACATCTGGGCATGCAGAGTCTGAGATGCAGAGGCCGCAGCAGCTCTACTGTTGAAGAAGACAAAGGCAGCCCGTTGCTGTTTCTCACTGAGGGCGCTCTTCCGTTCATCCTCCAGTTTGGGCAGCAATTCCTTTATCTGTTCATTACAATACTCAATCGTGTCGACCTTTTTACCGATAAGGCCACGGAATCCCGTCTTATGAGTAGGCCTCGTGCCCTCAGGTCTGTTTGCTGTTTTTGATTCTGCATAGACAGCTTCAGCATGAGCAATTTTGTGTTTGTGACCTTCAATCTCTTGGAAAATTTTATCAACCTGCATATATACGGTAATTATTATTATTATTATCTTGTATTGCCAGGAAATAAGACACATGTCACGAATAATAAACAACTCCCCTAAAGAAAAGAAAACTTGTGAGTTACAGTACCTTCGTGATGTCTGTCACAACCATTGCTTTGTAGAATGTGTCAGGATGAAGTGCTCGGAAATACGAGTCCACCGAGTCCTTTATAGTTTGATCAGGAGGTGGAACGGGAACATCTCTCACCAACATGGCAAACTCCTGTGGTTTAACCTCTGATGTTGATCTTGCAGCTGCTCTCAGATTCGAAACATGCTTGTAGGATCTCCATAGGATGAAATAGGTGACAAAGGAGACCCAATAGACTGCTGATATGAATGCCCACAGCCTCATACTTCGGTCCTGGAGAAAATATCAAGAAGTACACTGCTGAGTTTGGTTGTGACGTATCAAGGACAGGTCATTAGGCTCAAATAAGAGGATTACTTACTTCAATATTGGCCAATGACAATATTTCGAAATGTGTGACGTTGGACGGCATTCTGCCGGTAGAATCCTCCAGGGCATTATCAGTTCCAGCAATTGGCAACAGAACTGGAAGCAACACAATCCCGGCAAACGCAAGGATTGCAAACACTGGAACACAAGAGAATAAAAGATCTGATAATTGGTGAAAAATGTGCATGCTATATATCTTTAATTCGAGCAACTACTCTGCATGATATACTAGTTATATCTACCTACCTATATTTGACCGAAAACGCATGCATCCTAGCCTTTTCAACGCCCTGTTTGCACTACAGACTAAGCAATTTAACAGGTTAAATTTCATATTTCCAGCAATCCTCCATGCATGATACTCGTTTTTGGCTGGTTCGAGGTGCGTGCTCGCATGGCTGGTTCGAGGTGCTGGTTGTGGATAGGGAAGGAAAGCTTGACGAGCGAGAAAGAAACGAATGAACAGGAAGAAACGAGAAAAGGACATAAGGTTTCGTCCGGAAGAGAAAAGGTGATTGGGAAGAAGGGATAAGGCAGTTGGACGTGGGCCCCCAAGTTCCATGCAGCACGCGCGCGAGCGGGTGGCCGATTTTTAATCGTTTCCTTAAAAGTAAACTGATACCACTCCTTAAATTGGTACATAAAGGTAAAACAAGCTGCCCAGTCTTCTTTATGTCGGTACTCCTTCCGTTTCTAAATATAAATATAAGTCTTTGTAGAGATTTCACTACGGACTATATACGGAGCAAAATGAATAAATCTACACTCTAAAATGCATTTATATACATTTCGTATGTAGTTTACAGTGGAATCTCTACAAAGACTTATATTTAAGAACGGAAGGAGTACATGAAAGTAAAACAATCAAACATGAAACTTCCTTTCTAGTACAAAACCACATCATTTTTTAGAAATTACTGTATATTCCCTCCGTTCATGTTCATAAGTACAAGATGTTTCAACTTTTTCTTGATTTGGATGTGTAGGCGTATTTTAGTGTGTTTGTTCAATCATTTCAGTCAGCATATACTCCATATTTCATCCAGAACATCTTATATTTGTGAACAGAGTGAGTACATATTTGTTTAGAGCAGAATATAGCATGCTTGAAACCAGTTTACGACAGCAGATTCATCATAGAAATCGTAGTCGACGACAGCAGGACTAAATTTTATATTTTGTGCATGAACTCCTAATTGGCGAAGCACAAAAAGAAAACATGGAAACGCAAAACAGATTTTATAAGTAGTAAACGAATCAACCTAGTAGGAACTAGAAACCAAACAAGCAACTCAGCAAAAGCATGGGTAAACAAATGAAGTGAAGAGCGTGGTTTGCTTGGCCGTACTGGACGAGAGGAAGACGAGGTAGACGGCGGCGTCGACTCCGCCGGCGGCGACCACGTCGGGCTCGGACGCCGTGAACGCCTGGCGGATCCAGCCCACCGGGCTGCGCGTGCCCCGCCCGCGCCCCTCCCACGGGTCGAGCCCCCGCAGCAGCAAGCTCGGGTAGTACACCGTCGCGTTCCCCGGCCGCCGCGACAGCCACGTGAACACCAGCACCAGCACCACGAAGACGGCCAAGGAGGTCAGAATCGACGTCACGAACGACGGGATGTCCATCTCGCCGCCGCCGCCGCCGCCGCCGCTCCTCCGGGAGGATTATGAGGGGGTGTAGTGGCGGAGGGAGTGATTAGCGGAGGGTAGTAATGGGTGGAAAGGGGTGAGCATTGGATGCTTTGGTGTGCCCTGGCGTGGACGCGTGGTGGGGACTCATGCGCTGTGGAGGTTGCCGACCACCCTGCGTCAAGAAAAGTAAAAGGAGGTTGCCGACCTCCCTTCAGGAAAATGTCTGAAATGCCCCTTGCCTCGGTGTCTGTTCTAACTTTGTGTCCGTCCCTTTTTCCTCTTTTGTTTCTGAATGATTCGAATCGTCTCGCTTTTAGTCCGTCCATCCTTGTCAAGTAGGACGGCTCGTATTTAGGGTCAAACTTTAATCGTAAATTTGAATAATAGGATATAAATTATATGTCATGAAAATATATATGGTACGAACCCTTTTTTAAATATAAATTCAATGATATTGTTTTTATGCCGTATAAATCATATTTTGTTAGCTATACAGGTGGTCAAAAATTGACTTAAAATACGAGAGGGGCTAATAAGTACGGACGGAGGCAGTACCCCTTTGATGGGGACTGAGATCACCTGACATGCCTTCAGGCAGTCAGGCTGTAACATGCGACTGTACATCTAGCATCCAAACAAGATCCAACGCCTCACAATGGCTCAAGTGAAAAAACGGTTCAGACTTTGCATTTTTCTGTCATTCGACAGCAGCTCGGGCAAACAACAGCAATCGTGGAGGTCAACAGTCCTGTGCGTTGTACCAATATGTATATATTCATGTTCAAGAAAATATGGTTTTTGTCTCTCAAGTTCCCCAGAATTACAGACTTGGTCCCTTAAAAAAAAGTCTCAAAATCGGATAAGTTTCGTCTAAAACCAGATTTTGACCACGTTGGCCGGCTTTGACAGATGAAATGTAAATTAAAAAAAAACAGCAAACAAATTTAAGAAAACTATAATTTTGTGTCAACCAAGATGCTTGGGTGTGAAAGGGAAATTTTGTGTGGTCTTTCGACATTCGTGAAGCTCGTGGCAAAAAAACAATTTTTGGCTAAAAAAATCAAAATTTGTTTTTTGTTAGAGATCCTTGGAAGTTATTTGACCACAAAAATTTACATGCAACTCACGCACCCAAGAATTTTGGTTCTCATATAATTCCATATTTTTTGGAATTTATTTGCTATTTTTCTAATTTACTGTTCATCAGTCAATCTAGTCAACATGGTCAAATCCTGTCAAACGTGGTCAACATGGTCAAAATCTGGTTTTGAATTAAACTTATCCGGTTTTGAGTCCTGAAGGACCAAATGTCTATCAAAAAAATTTGAAGGACCAAGTCTATACTTTTTGTGACTTGAGGGACAAAAAACATAATTTTCTCAAAAACAAAAACGGATCTGAATGTATTTTTTATTATTTCTGGCATTCGTTGTACTATCATAATCGACGATGAATAGATTGAAAGTTTTACCTCAAAAAAGTCTGTAAATGTATGTTGTTCTAGTACTTGTGTTGCATTTTACATCATTTGGAGCAGGTTATGTAATTTTTTTACATCTGTTAAAGGTGCGTTTTAGGGCCTCATGGGTGTAAAAATTAATTATTTTTGCATCTACAATTTTCTATTGAAGATACTCTTACATACAAGCACGTAGTATCAGCAAAGATAGCATGAGTACAAGTCTTTACTAGTTCGTACTCTATCTATTCCTAAATATAAGTCTTTTTAGAGGTTTTGATATGAACTATACACATGGTTGTATATAGACATATTTTAAAATGTAGTTCACTTATTTTGCTCCATATGTGGTTCATATTGAAAGGTAAACGTTTAGAGCCGGAGCGCTGTTGGAACGCACGATCCAAGCGACCCAAGCCCATCGTACGTCTCTGCTCACCTCCTGCCCACCTTATCTTCTTCCTCCTCCAGATCCCCTTCTCTCTCTCTCTCTCTCTCTCTCTCTCTCTCTCTCTCTCTCTCTCTCTCTCTCAACCGCACCCACGCATACTGGCGGCCAGCCCCTCGTCTTTCTCCTTTAGATCCCGCTGGCGGCTAGCTCCTATCCCGCGCAGATCCCTACCTCCAACCTCAGCTCATTCCAACTCCCTCCGCTGCCCCTGGCTGCAAGTTCCTTCCGCCCCGGCGAGACAGAGTTGGAACTTGCCATGGATACACCGTCCGCAAACTGCTGCTCACAGTTCCTTGTGCTGGAACCGTCCGCCGGAGATGCTACAGCCATGGCGGAGCGACCTCCTCCCCCACCGCTGCAACCACCGTCTCCCGAAACGAACTTGAAAGCATTTTTTTTGCTCCTCCACCCAATGCTGCAATCGATGATGCAAAAAGCGACAACCGTTTGGTTCAAAAGCTTCAACCCGCGGTATATTAAGCTTCAACCGGATACCGCGCATAGAGAAAAGCTACACTCGTCCATATGAAAGCTTCAACTGTAGTTTGAAAAAGCTTCAACCAGCGATGGCTGGAGGTGGAAGAAGATGACAAAACACTGTAGTTTTGCTACATGCTTCAACCGGCATGGATTTTGCTACAACCGGCATAGCATTTTGCTACAGCTAGGGTCACGTTTTGCTACAACACACAGCTGGCGTTGTGGTTTTGCTACAACTAGCATCACTTTTTGCTACAACCGGCATAATGTATTGCTACATCCAGCACGGCCGAGCTGTGACCCGCGACGGCGATGACGACATTTTGTTGCAACCATCGTAGGTATTTGCTACGTCTAGCAACGGGTTTTGTTACATCCGTTCATTATGCAAATGTTGCTACCTGCAACGGCGAGCTACAACCAGCGAAAACGGCGACGTTTCTTTTTTGCTGCAACCGTGTCTCCATTTTGGTACGACAAACAATGAAAAATGCTACAACGGGCAATTCTATTTGCTGGAACCAGTGAATCACCAGCGAGGCGGAGCTGCATCCATGGCGTGCACGACGGCGAGGGCGGGATCCATCCATGGCGAGCGTGGGCGGTGAAGCTGCATCCATGGTGAGCACAGATCTCTGACGAGCACGGGCGGCGAAGCTGCATCCATGGCGAGCGCGGATCTCAGGCAAGCACGGACGGCCGGCGAGGGCGCCAACCGGCAACAAGGAACGCCGCAGTGGTGCTTCAAGCTCGGTTGTTTTCTCGCGGGGATATGGCGTGATGTCGATGGCGCTCGGGTCGTTGCATTTTTTTTTTGGAAAATGACTCATGAGGAGGACGAAGCGAGGAACAGATCTGACTATCATTAATCGCTGCATCGGGCGGCTAGGGCTGGACCGACCCAACTGTTGGGCCGGTGCGCCGGCGTCTAGCGTCGCCCATATTAAAATTTCTAAAAGACTTATATTTAGAAACGAAGAGAGTAGTAGCTACCAAAGGATTTACACAACAAAATACATCAACGATGGGACAACAACACGATGACAGTCGGAGTCGGAGAGGATATATAGCCCTATCCGGATCGAAATATATACCCACGCCTACACGGACAGGGTTGATGTGATCGTGTGAATATATGTAGCTCCCGCCGGTATACATCGCTACAACCTACCTGCGATCGACTATGATGATCGACGACGCCTCCACCTCGACCCTAACCACCACGGTGACCACCGGCAGCCACGTCCTCAGAATTAACGGCTATACGGAGACAAAGCTCCTCGGCAACGGCGTGGCGGCCCCGTCCGGCGAGTTCGAGGCCGCCGGCCACCGCTGGCGGATCCACTACTACCCCAACGGAGGATGGTGGAACAACGCCGACGGCATCTCTCTCGCCCTCAGCATCGCCGACAAGTACATCCTCAGCCATGTCAACGCAAACGTCCGGTTCTCTCTCGTCCCTCACGACGGCAAGAAGCCGGCGCCGGCCAAGCTCAAGCACTACCGTTCCAGTTTCGGCGGCGTCTTCAAGTTCAACGGCCATGTCGTCGGCGAACGGTCTAGGTTCATGGGAAGAGACCAGCTAGAGAAGTCGGGTTACGTCGTGGACGACTGCTTCATCGTCAGGTGCGACATCGACGTCGTTGTCACGTCGGCGGCTAGAGTGGTTGGCAGCACGGCCACGGATGCTTGTGATGATCTCGAGGAGGCGGAGCTCCCCTGCAGCAGCATGGTTCAGGAGGACATGTGCAAGCACGAGGACACCGTCGTTGGCGGCCACGCAACGGATACGGAAGACCCTTCCGATATCGGGTTGGCGAAGCCGCACCGCTCGGGACCAAGGCAACCCAAGATGATGATGCATCCGATGGCCGCCGCTGTTTTCTCTTCTGTCTTCTCATGTTTTGCAGATTTTTTCTAGACATATATTGACCTTTTTAGTTTGTAATTTGTAGTCATTATTATATCATTTACCATATGGAAACTAGTACTCCCTTCTGTCTTTTTTACTCTGCATATTAAAATTCTCTGGAGTCAAATTTTATAAAGTTTGACTGTATTTATATGAAAAAATATCAACATCTGTCATGCTAAAGTTATATAATATAAAACTTTAAGTCATGACACATCTAATGATATTGATTTCAGTTTGTGAATGTTGGCACTTTTTTCTACAAAGTTGGTCAAACTTTACGAGGCTTGACTTCAGTCAAATCTTATATGCGAACTAAAAAGGACCGGATGGAGTAGCTCATCCAATGCAACCTCTCTATAAATTTTGATTTGACAAGGCAATTATTTTCTGCCTTCTATATCAGTTTATACATCTACTAATTTGTGAACCAATCTGTGGTTGGATGGTTAGAGAGACTGTGCTATCCTTGGCCCACCAGGGTTCAAATCATGATGCTTGCATTTATTTTTGGATTTAATTCAGAATTTCGTCGATGCGCATTTAGTGGAAGGAGACGTTTCCGTCGACGACAAGGTGCCTACGATTATTTTGTAAATTTTAAGATGATATGCCGGCTCGCGTGTATATGAGCGCTTGTGTCTATACTGCATTTAAAAAAAATCTGCTAATTCATGACACCTACTTACTCCGTCCCATAATGTAAGACGGTTTTTAACACTACACTAGTATCAAAAACTGTCTTACATTATGCGATGGAGAGAGTATTTTGGAACGGGGAGAGTAGCAGATAGTACAAGGTAAGTGTGCAGAAGGCCGTGGTGGTTTCAGAAAATTTCACATGACACACTTATACGTCACAAATTCTATTGCTAGATTGCAACCCAAATTGGACGAAGAGCACGAACTTCATATCCATGTGGCCAGCTCATAGTAACACATCAGAGGCTCGTGAATGTTTTCTCTCCAGTTTTCTCATGATTTGTTGATTTTTTTCTAGACATTGATATATTTATGTTTTTTCTTTCAACACCCCCCCCCCCCATCTCTGCCGATGATCCTGTGGATTCGTCTCCTCTCTGTCCGTCGATCCGACAGCCGGTGCCGAAGAGGAAAATCCTGGTTCTTAGCTCCGGCTAGTAGATAGGTACGTTTTATTCCTTGTAGGGGCGACGCTCGGACGGATGGCGGTGCTTCTTCCTCCAGTTAGTCTTCCGAGCTCCGATCGTCCTCAAGATCATCTATTGGGACGGATTAGATGGAGCTCTGGTGTTGATTCCTTCTAGCTCCCCAGGGCGGAGAGGTTAGGGTTTCTCGTTGTGCGTACACAATGGCAAGATTTGGTGTCAGATTTTTCAAATCGATTGACGGATTCAACGGCGATGGCTGCTGCTCTAGGGCGCTAATCCTTGCATGAAGGCTTTTCGGCTATTATCGACAAGGTTAGGCAGGCTCCGACATAGGAGCAGCGACAACAATGTCGGTGGCTCATTCTTGTGGCGACTGTGGTCGTTTGGTGGTCATGGACCTTAATGTATTTATTTTATGTTTGAGGTGTTTGTGCTTCTCGTACTTTTTATTTATAGATCTGATCATTTTTGCAAAAAAATCCTATATTAATAATTATTAGTTTCTAATTTGGATCGATTATTATATTTCACTACCTTGTGAATAAAATATAGCAGCTCGTGTGCAACCACTTTCTATAAATTCTCAATCATCTTTATTATGAAGTTTTAAACACCCTCTAATCCTTAGCAGATGCAAAGTAAGTACGCCATAAGCCATGTTGATCAGGAAAAAAAATGTTCACATCGCATACTTATACGTCACAAATTCTATTGCTAGACCAGCATCCAAAGTTATTGCACCAAAGTGCCACATGCCTTGTAAGAAGTTTGAAACTCCTACCTTGTATAAACCGAAATCATCACGTCAATTTCAAATATCTCAATTTGGCAAATGGGCACAGAAACTTCAAATTGTTCCACCTTCGTCGCAAAAACTATATTAATATAATCTCCAAGTGAGTGCACCCAAGTGGAACATGACATGTAAGAAGTTTGAAACTCCAACCTTGTTAAAACCGAAATCATTACGACAATTTCAGATATCCCAATTTGGCAAATGGGCACAGAAACTTTAAATTGTTTCACCTTCGTCACAAAAACCATATTTTTACTCTCATGTGAGTTGTGTTAAGCTAAGTTATCATTAGTTAAATGTACCTTCCTACTATTCGCAAAAAAATGTACCTTCCTACAAAGGTACCAAGTGCATCTGTAGATGTGATGATGCAAGATACATCTTTAGGATACATAGGCAAGCCTTGAGCCCTTGACTATAGCAGATGCACCTGTACTAAACAAGCTTACCACAGTATACATACAAACCAAAAAATATAGTAGTATATGTTTACCTACACATACAACACATCATCGATGCTAACCTTGGATGCTGAGAATCTGACCTAAACCGCATGTTGTGCGCCAATTTTCAGAGTTGACAGCGCAAAACGGGTTTTGGATTGGGGAGATGAAGGTTCAATTAGATTGAATCCTTAACTCTGCTATTTATCTACCTTCTCATTTTCCACCCAGTAATTAATACAAATTCACGACTTATACTTTAATATGTCTGGCGTGTGGAGGATCACGTTGAGTCTTCGGTACTAGCAAAGACTTTCAGCCAGAAGCTCCATACAAATGCATAACACCATAGTGCCTGCTTCATATCGGTGATAGATTTCAAGAATACATCTTTTTGGAAGAGCAATTAGTACAACAAAGATAATCGAATAAATGGAATTTTCTTCTTCTTTTGTCGAATTCATTACAGACAAACAATGTATGCCATCTTCTTGTGTAGAATTCATTACAGATGAGCAATGTATGCTAGCTGAAAGGATGACACTTGGGATCCAATTGAGTCATGTAATTCAATAATAATGTATGAGCTGCAAACTCGATGATACCTAGTTCATTGGCAGCACACCGTAAAATTCGATAATTCAAATAATCAATGACTCCATAGTAATACTCAAACGTTAAATAAAAAGGTGTGCTGTGCACCGTGACCAAGCAAAAAGATAGTAGTACTACCAGTCCAGTACATTCTTTGGCCATGATGCGCATCCTCGTTGACAGCAGTTGATCAGTAAATGTGGACTTTGGAAATTTCCTCAATATATAGCTAGTTACATGTTGCTATATTTTATTACACAAGGGGGTTTGCGAGCAAGTTTGGGAATAAGCTCCTTCATAATAGACGGGCAACTTCTTGCTAGATGCTCAAAGTCAGAACTCCGTGTGATCAGATCCAGCATGCTATTGTTACAGGACTCGAGGAATCTGAAGCATTCCTCCTTGAGTGCAGGACAAGCATGTTGCTCGGCGAGTGCCACTGTAGTGGCCACTGTGCTAGTGTTGATGTAACCGCATAGTTTCTCTTCGCAGGTCAACTTCAGTCTCTTGAGGCCGTACCTGTCCGCGGCAACAAGCAAATGCTGGATCATCCCTAGTGCATCAGCATCGTCAATCTCAGGCGCCGAATCGGTGTAGATAAAATAAAGCAATGCCTGGAATACTTTTGGCTCCATGTCCTCTATCTGCACGCACATTGATGTGCTCTCCTTCATTGGACCCAGAAGCTGCGCCCTGAAGACAGAGGAACGAGCACCAAGGACACACCTGTGTGCGGCGAACATCTCACCGCCGACCTCGAACATGACATCCGCCCCTTCACCGGAGGAGAGGAGCTGACCGAGATCATGGAGGATATCCGACGGCGGCACTAGCATGCGATCATGGTTCCGTCCAGGAACGTACTCGGTGGAAATCTCCTTGGACACAATGATGTCGAATTTGACACTGAAACCACCGTTCTCCCATGACACGTGACCTAATCTCTCCAGATCAGCCCTGGTGATGAACCGAGAGTAACCCCACGGCCCTTCATTGCTGGAGAAGGTGCAGCACCTCCACCCACCTCTGCAGCCGTAGGACGGCACCGGCTTCCCGTGCGCGTCGAGTAGGCTGATCTTGACCTGCGTCGTGACGACCTCGAAGGCGCCGGCCGGGACGAGGAAGAGGAAGACGGATATCCAGCCGGCGTCCTGCGGGCCCTGGCCGTCGGGGTAGAACTCGACGTACCAGCGGCGGCCTCCGGCGAGGAAGGTCTCCGATTTGACGCACTTGCCGTTGCCGAGCCCTTGGTATGTCGGGTACACGTTGATGTATAGAAGTAGAACATGCGAGCCTGACCTGGGTGAGACGGTCTGAGGCTTGACGGCGGCAGCGGCGGTGGCGGAGGGAGTTGGGGTGGAGGAGCTGGACATGACACAACCCATGGCGGCTAACGATTTTGTTGAGTGCACAAGATCATGCGTGCCTGGCCTCCATTGATGAGTTTAGAAGGAAGGTAGGCAGTTGGGATTTCAGCCGAGACGCAAGGATAGAGGTTAGAGTTTGTTACCATTACGGCTGGATCTCGGTCATGGTCTCATGGATGGCTACTCTCGCTGTATGGATCTCGGTCATAGTCTATGGGCTTCCGTGGTTGGTGTGTGGCCAGCAAATATACGAGCTTATTCAATTCTTCAAAACATACGGGATGATCTATGGGTTTGTTTTTACATACCCGAAACATACGGGATTTATTTTGGTTTACCGTGCATTGCCCAAGAAGTTGTTCTCTGGGATACCAGGGGCCACGCCAGGTTTTGGGCCAGCCTTAACAAAGCCCGGTCTAAAATGCCTAGCCCAGCCCAAAATGGATGATCAGTGATTTTTCTATTTAATCTAATTATTTTTTTTAGTTTTAAATATATCATTATACTTTCAAGGTCGGGATTCAGGTTTTTCTTTTTGAGAAATGTAATACGCTTAGGATGGCGAATCCACTTAGATAGAAAGTAGCGAAGGGAGGACCTGGCACAAGATGAAGTTGTTCTCCAAGCTCCTGTTACAATCACTCCGTCAAACAATCGAGCATACACACAGCGGCCCTCCCATTGGTCGGCCATGTAGCCAGCAGCACATTATACCGAACCAATACACACGCAAGGACGCATCAACCGTACACTGTAGAGGCCTTGTTACTGTAGCAATTTATTTTTTATTTGAGAAAATGATTATTTTTTTAAAAGCACACCCTTTTCAAATACGAACATTTTTTTGAACCTTTTGGACATCATTGGAATGTTTTTTTTATTTCAAATAATCTTTTGAAATTGGAGACATTTCTTGAAAATTCCTAAATTTAAAAGAATTATGAAATTTTCTGGAATACCCGAACATTATTTAATTTGTTAAGAAATTGGAAAACTAGAACATTCTTTGGAAATCCAAATAATACTTGAAATTTTGAACATTTCTTAAATGCAAACATATTTGGAAATTCCAAAAACAATTGACAATTTTAAAAATAGAAAAGGTTCTAACTGGAAATAAAAACAGGGCAAAAAAAAGAAACCATAAAAAGAAATAACAAGAAAAGAAAACACACAAAACAGGAGTTGAACCAGACATAAACCTTCTAAAAGTTTCCCAAAACCGAGATTTATAGAACATAAAACGGGCTTGCCCAAATAAGTCGATCCTACGTCAGTTCTGTGCGGTAAGGTGACAGTTTGCCGCAAAAAAGCGGATAAGAGGATTTCTGGTTGTTCTCACGCTCAGAATTGTACCTGGGGCTGAGCTGAAATGGAACGATTCAACTCTAGAAGAATCTAACTGAGGATCTCTCTCGAATTGATTGTTTAGAAGGTATAACACTTTGCAAATCTTAAAGTACATTCTATCATGGTTATGGTTACTGTGTGCTATATTGAGATTGGTCACTGTTATGGTCAACCAAAGCATGCATGCTTGCCCATGTCTGCTAACAAGTCAATTGGGATCGGTGACGCGGTGCTCAAGCTCATGCTCTTGCACAAGCTTATTCTCTGATTGGGTATCGCTCAAGACTCGAGGCCGTTATCACCCCCCGAGGGCGGCAGCTTCCTGGGGCCTAGCTTCGCCTAACCTCGCTTGATAGCACCATCTCCCGCCATTCACATGGGTCAAGGACTGTGGGTCCAACAGATTGTTCTTCCACCTCCAGCGTCGGGTCGCAAGTAGTAGAAAAACATAATCCTTCACTCCTCGTGGGGCAATCACCTCCCGCTAGTGGGCCGGCCCAATAACACACTTTCATGCTGTTTTCGGAAGCTTCTATGGACTGTTTTTAGAAGCTTCCACTTGGTTTTTATTTCTGTGTACTTTCCCTATCATTTTTTTCATATTCTTTTACTTTTTGTGTGTTTTTTCTCTTGTTTTTTTTCATCTTTCTAATAGATGTCGATTTTTTTCAAATGCATGTCGAACATTTTTTGTATATAGGTTGAACATTTTTTGATACACATTAAACACTTTTTAAATACACCATAAACCATTATCTGAAATACAAAATGCACATTGAACATTGAACATTTTTTAAGACATAGTGAACATTTCTAAACACATGTTGCACATTTTTTTTAAATTTCATGAACGTTTTCTGCAAAACATGTGAACGGTTGTTAAATGTTTAGAACCAAATTACTAAATGACACAATCATTTTTATATGTTATGATTTTTTTTAATTATGTGAACATTTTTGTTAGTAATTTACATTGCAAATTAAGTGGACTTCAATTATTACTCGATTGTGTCCGTGCTATATATTCTCTACATGGGAAATTTAACATGCATTATGTATATATAACTTTAGCAACATATTTCAAAAGCCCGTGACAATGCATGTGCATTCTATTAGGAACAACAGTATCCGGGGCATGCCTAAGGGAGGTACTAACCACATCAGACATCACCAGTCACCAATCAATATCAGGGACAAGCCAAAGGAAGTTATTTAAATTATAACACAATGCCATGTAATTTTTAAAAGTGTCCACATATTTAAATAAATATTAGCATAACTTATATAAAATGGTTATGTGTATTGAAATAAATTTTCCATGTATTTGATAAAGTAGATGTATAATATAAGAGTGTTCATGCTTTAATAAAATGGTTATGTTGTTTTAAAAAGCGTTCATGTGTTTTGCACAAAAATAAATAAAAAATAGGAGGTATGGAAAAATATATACAAGCCTAGTGCATGCCTTGAGATTTTAGATCCTCAAATGAATACATGAAGGAACATACACGAATATTTTATAAAACAATATATTTTTAGAAAATATATGAACATATATTTAATTATAAACCTTTAAACTTCACTAGTATTTTTATTAAAATGTGAACACTTTTTAAAATTCTACGAACATATTTAAAATTCTAAAAGAGAACCAACATGTTTCTTTTCTTTAATCTAAAAAAGAACTAAGATGTGAAAATGGGTCACGGTGGAGTGGCTAGCTCGGCTATGCCACCTTGTTCAGGGACATTAGGAGGAGGTATTTCTCTTGCGGGGTGACGTCAGGAGGAGGTTGCGTGTTCAGGTTTGTTTAGTTTTTTGATTTCGTTTTTCCTTTGTATTGTGTGCTGACATATGGGCCCCGACGGTAAGTCTTGTCTTGCAAATGCGAAAATAATAAAATATGAGTTTATTTTATATTTTTGCCGACCACGCGGATATGGCCGCCGACAATGGCCCCATGTCGCGCTTCACGCCTCATCAAAGCCTTGGGCGTACACACAAATGAGACACTAAGGGGGTGTTTAATTGCAAGGAACTAAACTTTTTTTAGTATCAGGAACTAAAGAAAAAAGGCCCTTCAGTAGAGTCTTTTTCTGCTCCTTATCAAAAAGTCCTTCCTATTGGTTACATAAGGCTAAAAGAGACCTTTTGTAGTCTAGTCCCTGTAACCAAACAGGGCCTAAAATGAACATCGACGACAACTTCAAGCACCACCGATGCAATTACTCTATATTTTAGTTCCATCAGCCTAATATATACAATCTGGTCCCCTCACAAAAAGGAAATACAATCTGGTGAATGGAGGTACTAAGGTAGGAACGGGAGGGTCGTTCTCGTGAGTGGGGGAGAAAAGGAGGGGCGTTCTCGTGATTTCCACTGTGGGCATCTCATTCTCATCTGGCCTCGGCGGATCCGCCCAGCGGCGGAGAGATCCACGGCCAATATAAAAGAAACGGAACTATCTCACTTTGCTCCATCACCTGTCGCCATATCACGCCAGCCACCTCGGTCCATCGACAACAGGGTTGGTCAGGGGCCCCAACGAACATAGAGACAAACTGGAGGGGCAAGGTGCATAAACCCGCGGTCGTACTTCCTCCGCCAGCCACCAACC